CGTCTTTTTTAAATGTATTTAAATAAATAAGCTTCGGCGTCATTGGTCATTATTGGCATACAAGGATTTACATATTATATATAAACAAGAATAGATTATAAACTATATTTTTAAGATTGGTTTTAATTAAAAAGGCCATCAAGTGACTTCGTCATATCGTTTATCGAATTATATATTATGCATAAAAAAAAACGCAGTAATAACGTTTGGTGTTCATATTCTCGGGAAAATTTTCAAGAATTTTCAAGATTTGAACGACAGGACATGAATTTTACTCAAGTTTATCTTCTTGGCCTCATTTACTGCACATTTAAATGAAAATATTTTTTAGACACACACACACGTGTGTATGGTACCGATGTAGATGAAACCTACTCGTTAAGCTTATATATTCGGAATCGTCTAACTTGTTTCGCTAAAGAACAAAATTTACTGCCACTATAGTACGTACACAAGGTAAAAATAATAAATGCCTGACAATTCCGTACCAACGTCGCTTCTGCAGTTTATATTTGTTATTTATTATAATTATTATTTTTTTTTTCTATACCAGTAACGCGCGATATTTCAAACATATTGTGTTCTTGTTATAATAATAATATACGAAACAACGAAAACCTACAACTGTGTATAAATATCTATAACCAACAGTTAATATTTGCGTAGTCGAATCTTAAATATCTGCTAAGTATGTGACATTTATAAATACCCGCCGAAGCGCGACATACGTACCTATAGCGACGCTGTACAGCACGATTCTGTGCTTACATCGGAATGTGAACACACATTTAATKCACGAGACAAGATCGTTTTTTACGAACACGCTCTCATTATATATTATTATAAAACTCGAGAACAACACTGCACAAGGTGTACCAGCCATTATATTAAGTAGGTTTAATAACGTATAACAATATATACATATTATATTATTATTATACACAAGCGTCTCTTAATTCAATGGTTACGTACAATATTGTTTATTGCGGCGCCACATAGTATTTATTCTTGTTCTAAGAGCTCGCGGGCGATAGGTACTTCAGCACTGAACACGTTGGCAATTAAGTATCGGTAGGTACTCGTATTAAACACGATATAAATATTAAATATATTTTCGTCTCCACGTGGGTCTTCTATACGAAAAAGGAATTTCAAACCCCAAACTATACGTTGGGTTGGGTCCGGCGGTGGAATCGATACCGTTAGATTGAAATCTAACGAACAATTTGCAGTTTTCCAACGTCAGAGCACATAGTGTGAATCGCAGTTGCGCACAATGCACACGCATCATAATATAGTGTATTTTGTGCAGTGAAAAAGTAGTTTACATGAAGCTCGTTTAAAATTCGTTCGAAGTCGATATAACACTATACGATAATAAAGTATAATATCATAATATTATATTAAACTGAAAACCCACAGGCTCCAAGATTCCGGTTAGAAGATTATAGATAGTATAACATTGGTCAAATACATCACCGTTAAAAAGATGAATTTCAAAAAATATACGTATTATATTGCACTGAATTTAAGCTTGTTTAATTGTCAAAAATAAAAATAAATTGTACATTTGAAAAACAAAACATTATTGTTTAAAACTAACATTTCGAACATTATTAAAAAAAAAAAAAAAAAAAAAAAAAAAAAATGAACAATAGCCTACAGTGTTGCACTACTCTTATTATGTATTTACAGATTAAGTACATCCATTTAAATAATTTACGTTATATATAATACGTATATGTAGTAAACGTACACACATATATATATATCTATATATATATACATATATATTATCGTAAACACACTACGCTAAAAACTGCATACACTAGACAGAGAAAAAAAGTCAACGTATCATTATTATATATAAGTAATAAATATAGTTAAAAAATATTAGTCTTAGCAGATCGAATTTTCACACATTATATTATAATTTATAATATATATATATATGTAATTATATTCATTAATGCTATTTACGTATTTGTCTTTCGTTATAATATAAGTTATATTATAACTTTCACTTAGCGTTACGGTTTAAATTGGTGTGAAACAACAAAATATATTATTTTTAACAATTATGACGATATAAGAATATTAATATCATATTTCCAAATAATATAATCAGACAACAAAATATTTTTGCTGATAATGATTTGTATTAAATAATTTTAGGAATTCTATGTCGTTTCGATAAACTTTTGACAGTCTATACAATTTTAAAAAACCTACCCTGAATCTATAATTACGTATATATGTGGATATAAACAAAAATCGTTTCCAAATTATGTTTTTGATGGCCTTAAAAATATAATATGCATAAATGCTTAGGTACCTATAAATTATGTTAAATTACAATATTTTAATACGTATATAATTTTTAAAATTAATTCAATCAATCTAAATAATAGTCTAAACGCTCGCGATAAACTTCTTAATATCTATAGAAGCTGTTTACAAATTCTGAATTTTGGATAGGCCTAAAATATATGTTTAGATTGTCGAATTTACGACTGATTTATAAAAGAGGCATAATAAAAAAAATATATATAGAGGTATATCATACAAATGAAAACAAAACAAAATAATAATAATAATAATAATAATAATAATAATAAAAAACTTCAGTAGGTATACAAAAAAATAATTAAATATATATTAATTGAATAGTTTATTATTATGTTTAATCGTAAGAAAGATTTGTAAAAATAAATTAAATATTAATAAAGCATTAATCTATATATATTTACATAAGTGTCGGGAGGAAATACTTTACTCGGTAAACATCAGGGTTCATTCGGTATTATTTTTTTTTTTTGTGTGTAATTAACACGTTAAATAAACCCTATACGATGAAAATTTTAAACAAACAAATTATATTATAATATATTACGCTTAATGATTGAAGTAAAGAAACAATTTTTATCTAGGAATATGGGCATCAAAAAAACGAGCTAAACTATATTATCTTGGTAAATGTATTTAAAACTAAAATAAATAAATAAAAAATATCGGTCACAACGTACGGAGAGATAAATGAAAAAAAAAACGTAATAGATGTGAACGAAAATGCGTCGATGACAATAACGTATACAAACTTGAACTAAAAGAAATCGGCGATAACGTAACTGCGCGCCRTTCGGAAACTTAAACGAAACGAAAAATGATATCGAACAGGAAAAAATAAAAATGCAAGTCGTACACCGGGACACATATTATGTGGTACATACGCGCCCGAATCAGACATAACAAACAAACAAAAATGGATAAAAAAAAAAAACCGTATCATTATACAAACGAAACAATATTAAATATATTATATAGGTATGAGGTACATAATATTATAGTATAATATTATTATTATAATAATAATACTTGCAAAGTATATAGGAACAACGACGGCCGCCGTTTCAAAATACCTCATCGGGAAACTGAATATCTAAAAAGCAGGCGCCCCGGTGCAACGGATATCCGCGAGTACCGTACAACAAGGTGTACCAGTTGTGCCTACCCGTGTCGTTGTACGACCGATTGTGTGCGGACCAAATAATTATGAATAATATTCTCAGTCACCGTGKTGGAAGTAGGGAACAACATTGGGGAATGGGAAGATTTTGTCAGTTTACAGATAAGCACAGGTAACCCTAGGCACAGAGAAATCGACCACCACAATAATATATTATCACTGCCGTCCAATCAGTGATCCCGTACAAGACACGATTCGAGACATCAGACGTTTTTCACAAATATAATATTAAGAACGGATTTTTTTTTTAATGCTTAAGTTKTCACGCAAAACACGTATATAATGTAAATTATATTATTAAGTATGATCAGAATGTTATGTAAACCAATATTTTGTCGTAAAACGTTGAAGACGATGGACAAAAAAGAAACAAAACTAATGTAATAAACATCATATTATATGATCAAAAAAATTTAAAGAATATATATTCTTATGGAGAAGACAATTGCCGTACTAGACAGCAAAGATTTATTATTATTAGTAATAACAAGAATAATATTGTGGATCGTAGAACACCGGCAATCAAGGGAAGTGATTTTAATGCTCTTGAATCTCTATTATAGTGTTTGTTTTTTCTCGAATATTAATAGTACGAGTAAAAAAGGACAGAGAAATGTAGGCCTACGAATAAGAAACTCGCGTCGTTTCTTGTACCGAAACAACAATATATTGAAAAAAATACTATTTTGTCAAAATATTTCTTGAGTTAAATTTTTTTTCAGTTTTTTTTTTTTTTTTTTTTTAGTGATTAATATAATAATTAGGTATTATTTAAATTAAGTCTATGAATGTAATATATTTAATATGTATAAATATTATGTAAGAATAGTTTGTATATAGATAAATATATATTATATATATTTATAAATTATTTACGTATTTTTCGAATCGAAAGAGAAATCCTATACAACTGTTGATACAATAAGTAACAATAATAATCATGCGACACCTTATTATAATTAATCATTATTATTATCATTATATCATTACTCTATTACTGTGCGAAACGTTGTTGCGCGCTCGCTCGCGGCGTTTACGTTTTGGCCTTGAGCATGTCGGCGGATCCCTTGTCCAGGCCGCCCATCTGCAGTTTGTGCTGTTCGTGCGACATCTGATGATGCGACATTTGCTGCTGCTGCTGTTGCTGTTGTTGCTGTTGCTGTTGCTGTTGTTGCTGTTGCTGCTGGTGCATGCCACCACCGCCGCCCACTACGTCCATTTTCGTGTGATCCTGCTTTTTAGCCTGTTCGTCTCGTTCCCGGCGGGCTTGCTCGTTGATCTCCTTGACTGCCCGCAGCTCCTTCTTGAGTTTCATCCGTCTGTTCTGGAACCAAATCTTGATCTGACGCTCGGTCAGGCACAAGGCGTGCGCGATTTCRATCCTCCGCCTCCGGGTTAGGTAGTGGTTGAAATGGAACTCTTTTTCCAACTCCAGAGTCTGGAATCTGGTGTACGTCTGCCGACCGCGGCGGCGCGGACATCCGTTCGGACCTGTGGACAAAAAGTAAACAAACAGGCGCTCGTTAAACGTTCTATATAGTTGCCGTGTTTTTTTTTATATAAATATTATAAAGAGCAATATCCGTTCTTGGTTCTAGTACAAAATGTAGGTGATATGTCCTATAGAGGACTGCTGAATGGAAAGTGGCGTAGATAATCTCAACTAACCCGCAGTCATTTAGGGAGAACAATTTATAGTAATAAAAATGCATAGCGTCACCATCGGGTGGCTATAGTTTTTTCGTATATATCAAGTAATATCACATTATAACTGCACACATGGTTACCGAGTTAACAATTATTATACAGGGCGATTGATCACGAGTTTAAAATGTATGTGTACAACAATGGTGTACGGTGTATAATTCGAGTGTTAAGTTCCGTAACACGCCTTGTATATTATATTATGATGAACACCGAAACACCGGATGCATTAGGTCCGGATCGAATAGACTATGAGTGCGCTTATCACCAGCCCGTGCAATATATTTTTTTGGTAGTGGTAATTAGAAACCTCATAGGAAAGTAGTAAATTAAATCTTTAAATATTGTGACCAAATCCGGCGGTTTGATTAGATTTAACGCTAAAAACGAAWACAAAAATAGCCACTCCGGCGTCGTCGAGACTAATACTTCTACAATGACTATCGAAGCGCAATAATTATCATCAATTTTCACCGGAAACAGTGTATAACTATCGCATCACGCCCAAATATACACACAGTTTTACGAAATAAAATATAAGCACAGTATACCTGCAGCTGGTTTGAACACCAAACGATCTCAATATAAAAATATTACACACAGGCCACGGTTACCAACTAGGTACAGACTTCAAAAATTAAACACGTATACTACTCGTTTAGATATGAGGAACGGAAAGATTAGTAAACGATAATGATAATTTAATAGTAGGTATATACATTTCTAAATAATTCGTAACTATAAATTGGTACAGGTATAAGCATTTTCTGGAGAATTGGAAAAACAAAAACTGATTAACAGTCAAAATGGGGCTATAATTTTTGTTTATGAAATGCGTTGTTTAGACTATAATAGTATTACATAATAATAGTGATTTCACATACAACACGAGTACATACGTATATATATATATATATATATATATATACGTTTTCATTCATTCGTTCATGGATATTTGTCCGGTTGCAGGCTGGCAATGTTATTACCTACACACACCAAGTTATATAAAATCTCATAATATTATGTATTATATAAATAATAAATAATAATATATATATATATATCACAGTCGTAGTACCCATATATAGAAGCGTGTGCTAATCAGCAGGATATTGAATTCACAGTGAATTAACATTTAATAACAACGCGAAAKTGGTAACAACAATGCATACAATGCGGCCGTTTTGAAATGAGAATATTATATTTTAAACTAAACTGCACTATAAGACGAATACCTATGATGTGACGATATACTATTGCACAGCTTGAGAACACAGATATGGTGCATTTTAAGTATGCACGTGGCAGCGACGTCGCTGTTGGTAGTCTAATGGACACGAATCGATATATGAACCAGGACTTCATTGCCGTCGACCTGTAGGCAGCAATAAATCGTTTAAGACCCCGTTATTATTTATACGGGGTCCAGTGAGGTCGTAAAGTGTTGAGCTTGTTACACRCGGTGCGGTCGGTTAAGCCAATAACTGCAGTATTAAAAACGATAAAAACTCAAAAATATGACCTTTGGTTGGAAAGTCACACTCGAGCTGCGCGATTATATACGGAACCGGCAGCACATGGTACTTAGGCGCAGGTTTTTATGTTTTATTCTAAGACGAAATATACAATCTATATCGGATGACATAATAAGTACATAAGATAAGCGATAGATAACACCAGTATACACAAAACGGCACGGGACTTAGAGACGAAAAACAGACCGACTCTATACAGCACGGCGAAGATCAAGCATTTAGGGTGAACCATCATAGACCGTATACGTAACCTGCACAATATTTCATTTAAAATAATGTAAACTACAAAATGTTGTGATGCTGTGATAAAGAATGAACCTGTGCCTATATATGCGCACTTGTACAATAATTATTCGCCGACGTTACGATATTATAATAATGATAATAGTAATAATAATAATATATTATAAAATAGGAATTTGCTCATTTGCGGCGTTAACTGCGGGCAGTACCACAACCCGGGTGGTGTACGTGTTGAGGTGTGCGACATCGATAATAATAATTATTATAACACACCGCAACCGCGTCCCTGTCACGGCTGCTGCGGATGGCCGTCTCGGGAATTCACCGTGCGCTCTTTAATGGCGCCACCACCAAGGGCGGAGACTGCGGCGGTCGCCATGGTTACGCGCCTTGCTGCCGGGTAAACCGCCGAGAGGGTTCTATTTCTCTCTCACTCGCCCTCGCTCCATCGCTTTCTCTCCTCTCTGTCTCTTACTTTCTCTCGCTCAAATGTTCATCTCGGTCTCCCAGCGCGCGAGAATATTTTCGTTGCACACGACGATCGCCGGGTTCATCTTGAAAGACGGACGACCAAGGTCAACTTTTTTTCCACCTCCACATAAGTATATATTATTGCTATAATACTCTAGTGCTAAAACGTGTATTATTGTTATTATTAATGCGGGAAACGCCAATCGCCAAACAATAATAAATGATAAACAATCGATCGCGTAGGGCAAGATGCGCGCGCAACCAACGCTCGTTTATAAAACACACATCGCATATGTACGACTAATATTCTACAATATTGTAAAATACGATTTTGTATAATATTGTTAAACGTGGTTATGTTACGACCGTTGTGCGTTTAATTTTATTTTTATCCGATTTTTATCGTCTTTTACGCGCGCGCGGCTTGTTTGCGTTTTCGTTGTGTCTACCTGAGCATTTATGATGTATTATATTACACAGCACGCAACGCAATCGCCGTATGGGCATTACAATAATAAAATATGTCTTTTTGCGATAATTTCTAGCCCGGTCACCCAATTTCAAGAGTCCTAGTTCTATATAAAAAGTATTTTACCATTATTATTTCGTATAATATATATAATATATATAAACGGGAATAAAACGCTTCGAATCATAAACGCGATTAAATTATTGGTAGGTAGGTATTATACGTTTCGTGATCGTCATATAATGTAATTTTATCGTAGTTAAATTTTCGACGCTCAAGCACGTTTAGCGAATATATTACAAACGTTTATTATTTATCGACGACTACGCACGAGAGTTATTGTTTTAACGCAAAACATGACATGCTGCACCAGTCCATGATGTTGTTGCGGCGATACGGGTAAATGAGAAAGTTTGTGCCTACCTATCATAAAATCATAATTACGTGGCTACGGGTTATAGATCTTAATTGACATAATATGAAAATATGATATCATAATATCTCTTGTCTTTAATAGAACACAACACTCGCATGTTTGCAACTTGTCTCCACGTGGAAGTCTTACAAACTTGCGACATAATAGAGCGTTATATGAATACATATTATATTATATTGGTATAATCAATTTTAAGAGTGAAATGACTAATTTATCACATTAAAGGTACAAACATAATTTTTGTTGAAACTCAAGTTGTATACAATATTTAAATTTTACAATGCGCATGACTTGATAAAGAATTGAAATATATCATAAAAAATATATATCACATTGAAAACTCTAAGTGCCTATTTTTAAATATTGCTAATAGAGGAAGTTTCATTCTGCGAGTAAAAACATAGGTAGTCTTATTTTTGGAAACCGTAAATGTAATGGATCGAATTTAGAACCTTTCGAACGGTTTATCTTTTATTTTTTGGGGTATTATTACTTGGCCCGTGCCGTCACTGCTACCAGCACGTGCTAAAACATATTACCGTTCGAGAACTTCTATCGTAAGACGCTTATCAAAGAAGTTTTTGCGTAAACGGGTGATTACCTTGTTCGGAAGAATTTTTTTTAGTACAGGAATCTAAATTCTATGATTCTGTTATTATTGAATGTCGAATATTTTAGTACCACTATCATGTCAGTCTCACAGCCTGACCGAGGGTGCAAAATATGGAGTAGGAATGGGGGCGCAAATTTTTATTTTGCTAGGAGCGCCGCTATTAATCGGCCCAGTCCTGGACAGTCTACTAATGTTTGGATTCAAAATATTACACACATATGATTATTGTATCACCTGGGGCACAACGAGTACGCCGCAGAACAAGTTCCGCATAATTAATTATTATTATTAAAATTACATTTTCGATATGTTGTGCGAAAATATACAATGATGTTTATCTTCAGTAATTTGGCACAATAATTTCGATTTAGGGTTGCAAAGTTGCAATCGTAGTTATTATTAAATATWATATTTTATATTTATCTACTGTTTAATGTAACATTAAGGAGGTATATAATTAAACAGTTAAATTAAATCAAATCAAGACGTGAAACAACATGTATCTCCGCAGCATGTCGTCTCTCAGATAAAAAACAACAACATAATCACGAACGTCCGCAATAAAGTTGAAACCTTTATTGTACCTATTAACCTCCGATAAATTATACATACGGTCACAATTCGTTAGGTTGGTATTTTATATACTCGCTTATTAAACAAACAGATTTCAACAAAAAGCAAAATATGACTAGTGTTCTTAAAAAGTCTAATGATCTACTGTACGAGACAGGATAGAAATTATCACTACAACGTACGCAATACATGTTTCGGGTGAAGTTTTCTTGGTTCCAACGATCTAAAACGAAAAATAGATTTGTTTGCATGTCGGACGGACAACCGATGTCTTCAGATTATTTTAACATTCATATTTTATATGCTGGCAGTATCAAAATCAAACTTTACATTACGTAAATAATATAATATAGATAACATATTATGTTCCCCACCCAACACCGATATTTGCACAACAAGCACATGATGCGGGTCGGACTAAAATAAATTATTACTCTATTTAAATAA